CGCATGTCACTCATACTAGTAGTAGCAACTGCCAAATAGCACCCGCACCAGCTTCGATTGAAAGTCAGAGAAATAATGATACAGTCAGACGCCTCTATTTAGCCGCTCTCACTGTTGGCTATTTGGGAAAAAGTTATCCCCACCACTCTGGCTCGAGGCGAGCCCGGCCGGCCGGGTCCGGGACTCCCGGCCGACCGGCTGACCCTCGCACGGCGCCGTACTAATCCCCCGGCCAGGCTCATTTTTGAAAATGCAATTTGCGTTCAAATTTTCGGCAAACTGTTTAGCGGAGCGTGTTCCTGGCGTCAAAATAGGCAGGGTCAATGAAAATTTCATGTCATAATTTGAATTTTTGACCAAGTTACTGCAGCCGCCCACGCCCGACAGGAACCCGGCAGCGCGTCCAAATAGCGATTTGAGGCACTTCTAAATGTCAGATCGAGTTGAAATTTTGAAAGTCTGTTGTTCAAAGCATGAGGATCTCCCGGAGTTAAACAAAAGTGTGGGTTGGGTCGGTCAAAAGCATTCAAACTTGAACATTTTCTTGTTCAAACGAAAAAGTACCGTAACTTGGTCAAAAATTCAAATTTTGACATGAAATTTTCGTTGATTCTGCCTATTTTGACGCCAGGAACACGCTCCGCTATACAGTTTGCCAAAAATTTGAACGCAAATTGCATTTTCAAAAATGAGCCTGGCTGGGGGATTACGGCGCCGCAATCCCTACCTGCGAGGGTCAGCCGGCCGGCCGGCGGGTCCCGGACCCGGCCGCCGGGCCCAGCCCCCTGACTGTTTGCTATTTGGGAAACGCGCCTCCCGGTCGGCGGCGAAATAGAGGCGTCTGACTGTAATGAGATTGATGCGAGGGGTCGACAACTCCCATATTACCTCGTACGCAGAGCTCATATTACCTCTATATTACCTTATATTACCCTATATTACCGTATATTACCGTATATTACCTCCATATTACCACAATGTGACCACACATTTATGTGATTTGCTTGTTTTTAACCTAATCTAACGTTTAACTTGCCGTATTGAACCATGGTATCAAGGTGTTGAAGCTTTCGGGCTTCTCATTGCGACAGGAAGAAGTTCGGATTTGATGTCCGTGCTGAACCTGACACGAAGCTACGCGCCACACTTTTGTCAGATTGGTTGCATCGGGTTGCATACCTTTCATCTGACAGGGGGCTCTAGCATGAAACGAGGGTGGGGTCTGCATAATACTAAAATTCTGGCGTGAACTCATGATTTCAGCCTTAGTCAAGGATACTATGTCACGTTTTCATGTTCTTTTATCATATATTACCGTTATTTTATTTCCGTATATTACCTTATATTACCCTATATTACTTATATTACCGGTAATATATACTACCTCGTACACAGCTCGAGGTAGTTGTCGACCCCTCGGATTGATGTCAATGTTACTCTTTGAACCGCCCGGATGAGGACTCTCTGTCATCGAGCAGGAATACAGTACTGTCAAGCAAAGGAGACTGACTATTAATTTTATATAATTTAAACGGCTGAGTAAGGATCCATCCACAAAAAACCATCACACAAAAAGCAAATTGCGATACGCGTCGGGATGCTTGTGGTTACGGCCCCCTAATCCGTGAGTAGCAAGCTTTTTATGGCCTCTGTGACTCAGTCCGTTTCTCCTCCTGCAGGCAAGCCGCCATTGGTAAAACTGAAGCATAGTTGTACGCTTCATTCAAGCCTACGACTACGCTTGAGGACCTTACGCTCGCTCAGTTCTACCAGCGCACAGTGGGACAGAAGACCGGTGGAGGTGGCCAAACTTCTAGACGCGTTTTGAGCTCCCAGAGTCGCTAACGGGACTCGAACCGGAGGCCCATGACCCCGCCAATGGATTCCTCGTTCACAGAGCAATGGCGGGGTCATACATTCGGTTCAAGTCTCATTGAGCGACTCTGAAGCTCAAAAAGCGTCTAGAATTTTGGTCGCTTCCACCGGTCCTCTGGCCCACTGTGCAGAGACGGCCGCGAGCCATTTGCAGATGGGCAGGTGGGACTCGTGACTCACACGAGCCTCATCCCCACACTCTATCGGCGTCGCCATCGGTTCGCCGACCAATCCGACGCCGGGCCGGCCGGCCAGACACACGGCCAGGCCCTCCCCCGGGACCGACCCGGGACGCCCCGCTGGGCCGCGGTCTCTCTCGCACCCCTACGGCACTCTCCGTGAGTGCGAGAGAGACATAGCGAGATGCGGACAGGTGTGCGTCGTACTGTCGTACCGAGTGCGAGGGTGGGGCGGGGGTGCAGGCCGAGCAGGCCGAGCGTTGCGTCATGATGGCGTGCACCGCGTGCACTCGGCCGGCGCGCGGCATGGCGCCGTGGAAGCACCATCGTCATCCCAAAAGTTAACCAACAATTAATGTTTTTCTCATTTCATTTCGAAACCAAAGCGGCCAGGAAATGCATGCGCCATGGCGCTGATTACGATCTGCGCTTTGGTCGCTCTGCCTCACTCGCACCATGCTCGCACTCGCGGGGCGGGCCGCGGGGCCTGGAAGTGCGAGAGAGACGGAGCGCTGCTGAGCACACGGTCGGCACACGGCCACCCCACTCGCGGGGCCCATGGTGACACAAATACTGCACACGGTAAAAACGGTTCCTGGTTTTCCCAGGAACTCCCTGGAAATCGCCTATACCTTCACCATTGGCTTCCTGGGAAAACCAGGTTCCGTTTTTAGCGTGCAGTCAAGTACTGTAGACATTACAAGTACTTCGGCGTCGAGGTGTCCTCGGCTCACCGGTGCCAGTCTACCGGCACCCTGCCCCTGGACTTTGTCCAGGGCCCTACCCTAACTACTACACCTGACGGGCCTGGCGACCTGACGGCGACGCAGCCGGCAGAGCCTTGCAGAGCCTGACCCTGACGGGGACACGGACAATGCGACGGACAGCGCGGTGGCGGCAGGCGCGTTTTGGTGTCGTTTTGGTGGCGTTGTGTTGGCGTCCCCGGCCAGAGGCCCCGAGGCCGGGGACAGTGCAGTGTAGGGACCTGGGTACTGTACCCGGACTGCCTGGACGACCGACTGACAAACAGTGACAGCGGATCAAGGCGCCTCAAAGGCGCCGCCCGGAGGCCAACGGCCACGGCCCCCCTTCTGCTGCCCAGAGGAAAGTAACTGTTCGTCGGGCCGATCCGTCGTCACCAGAATGTAAGCAGAACAAACACCCCCATTAGGCGGTAAGTGGGCCAGAAGACCGGTGGAGGCGGTCAAAACTCTAGACGTGTTTTGAGCTCCAGAGTCACACAGCGGGATTCGAACCGAACGTGTGACCCCACCGATAGATTCCGCGCTCGGAGAGAAATCCATTGGTGGGGGTCACACGTTCGGTTCGAGTTCTTTTTAGCGACTCTGGAGCCCAAAACCCCTCCAGGATTTTGACCGCCGCCACCGGTCTTCTGGCCCACTTGCGGTCCGCGATTCGGCCCCAGAGCCCACCAATTGGATCATCACCACCACCGCTGTTAGGCTACTGCAGAACTTTAGCGAGTGCTTCCAAAAACTTTTCCATGCAACTGTGAGATGGAATGCGCACGGAGAGTCGTGCTGGAAGTTACATTCCGATAAAGGTACATTTGCTGCATGTGGACGCAAACGAACCCCCCCCCCTTTTTTTTGTCGTGGGTAGGGAAGGGCGGGCGGTCTGTTGCCGCGGCACTTTGGCAGCACTGATGGCCATGTTTGATGCGCGGCGCGTCAAAGCAGTCAAAGCGGGCAAGCAGGCAGGCAGGCAGGCAGCTAGGCGGGCAGGCGGGCAAGCAGGCAGGCCGGCAGGCAGGCAGGCAAGCCGGCCGTTGCCCTGGATAAATGCCTGCTCTGGCTGGCATGGCTGGCTACCGGCAGCCTTGTGCGCTTTTATTGCATCGCATTTCCGTCCCGGAGGCCCAGCCTCTGTCGCTCCAGCGGCTCCAGCGCGCGACGCCCCACCAACACAATCCTTTCTAGAGTCCCTCACCGCCCCGCCCCGGCCTGCCCCTCGCCCGCCCAACAATCTTGCGCTAGAAACGCATGACGGTAAAGGCTTGACAAAATCATGCCCAATCCCAAACAAGTCTAACACAATCAAACGATCAGTGTACGTACGACAAAATTCTGACTGGAGGTCTCTGGGCTAAGTCCGAGGGGGCACCACTCGAGGAATAGGGTACTTTCGTAGATCCCTGAGCCGGAAGCACACAGACGCCATGTTGGCGGAAGTAGATCCAAACTTGACATGGAAAAGAGACGTTCGTCAAAGGTATCGGCCACACTTGAACATAAATAGTCGTTTGATACTTGTTTGCAGTGCATATGTGTTTCGGGAGCAATATTTGTACAGCTCGGCTATAGTTTTGGATCCGAAGAGAGGTTAGTTTCCGGCCAATTTGGCGTCTGCTGGTCTGCTTGCTTCCGGTTCAGGATTCTACGAAAGTACCCTATCTTGTGTCCCCTTGAGCGCCCAAAGTTTCTGAACATCTCAAATCTTCCTCCAAAAAAGGCATAAGCAAATTTCAGGCGTAAAAAATGTCGAAATCACTTGCCTGAAGAAATTTTGAAAGCGGTTGCCTCCTCGGCTTAGTCTCTAGGCTAAGACTCCACTGACTCTGCGGTCTACAAGATCTACAGACTACGCCGCTACGCTACTTCTGGCTTCCGCCCTACGGGGCCCGCGGCTCGACGGGGCGCGCGGGGCGTGCGGGGCAGGCGCGGGTTCAAGATCGGCCCGACAAAAGTTTAAAAGAGCAAATACGGCGCGGGCTGCGCCGACACTGTGTGTTTGCCTGGCCTCTGATGAAAAGGGTCAACATGCGCGGACCTGACGGTGCCGCCGCCCCGCCCCGCCCCGCCCCGCCGACACGGCGCTGCAGTGCCTGGCAGTGCCGCTGCGTGCCACGCACTGTGCCGGCAGCGCGGGTCGCGATGCGACGCCAGGCGCCGCGAAGCGCGAAGCAAGGAAGCGTGAATGACTCACTCATTGGCTCTGTCCCAGCTTCTCCTGTCGACAAAAGGACGCAGTTAGCGACAGGACAGGCAAAGTCAGTTGGGGCGCATAAGACAGCGACGAATAGACAGCCGCCGTCAGCAGCAGCCACCCTGGACTCCCTGCGTCGTCGCTAGATCGCAACGGCCACTCCGAAGTAGAGCAAGACACGGCCGGGGCTGCCGGGCCGGGGCGTTACGGATTTAAAGCGGCCCGCTTGAACGCGGAGCCACGCAGAGAAGAGGCGACTCCCCGTGGGGGTGGCTGGGGGCGTGGGGGCGGCGTGGGGGCGGGGGCGGCAAGTGAGCGGCTTGTGGCGAGTAATAGCGCGAATGCACCCCCGGGGACACATAACCGGGCCGGGCCGCCTCCGCCACCGTGCCGCCCCCGCCGTGCCGCCCACACCGCCAGCATTACCGACCGCATTCAAGCCCAAACGGTTTTTGCGGCGGTGGCGCGCAGCCCCCGGCCTCCGGCAGGAGACTGATCCCGGGAGTCGTTCTCGTCGCTCTGTCTCTCTCGCGGCCAAAGGGGACGCCCCATGAGTGCGAGGGAGACGGAGTGACGGAAACGGCTCTCGAAATCAGTGGGCTGGCGCCGCCTCGGCCTGCTTGGCCTGCTCGCTGCCGCCGCCCCCTCGGCCCGTGCTCGCTGGGCCCGCTGGACGAAACGAAAGGGCGGCCCTCAGTTACAGTGTGCACGACGGCACGGCACGGCACGGCCGCGAGGAAGGAGGAAATAAAAGTAAAATGTCATGTCCTTATTGTGGCGGAATGTTTTTGCGAGGGCGAAGTTTAAATCCATGAGCGTGGTTCTCGTTCGGCCCGTCTGACTGCGAGCACGGATTCACGCTTTCGAGCAGTGGCGGATCCAGGGCGGCGTTTTAGTGGGGCAAAGTGGCACTTTTTGCCTACTTTTCAGGCGGCCATCCAGGTGCTATGAGAGGGGCCAAAGCCCCTCCGCCCCGCACGGCAGAAACTGTTAGGCTTCTGGTTTTCTCAGGAAGCCTATGGTAAAGACCCTAGAGAAAGGATTCTTACTCTAAGGTAAAGACATAGGCTGTTTCCAGGGGGTTCCTAGGAAAACCAGGTACCGTTTTTACGTTGCGCCCCTGTATCCACGCCTGCTTTCGATGAGTGTCGCCCGCACAGAGTTGGTCACTGCGAACGAGTATCTGCGAAACAACAGCGAAAACGAAACGAGACATGTATGACAGAATGCTCCGAATACGTAGTTTCCAAATAATGCGATTGCCTAGTCGCACGAAATGGTCCGAAATGGTGGCGAATTCCCCGTGGACTGTGGTCTCCGATTTGTCGCTTCACGTGAAAAGCGCTCTGAATCAAGGATCAGGGTCGCGGCGGCGGGGCGGGCGGGCGGGCGGGCGGCTGCGTGTTTGTACACCCACACCGCCGCGCCCGCCGCCGCGGCCCACACCAGCCCGTCAAACGTGCCGTGAGATAACCGCCCCCCTCCCCCACTCAACCTCCAACGTGTTAACACGGCGCGGCGGAACTGAGAAAGGCAAGGGATAATCCCCTGATCCCGTAATCGGCCGATAGATAGCGCACGGTGACGCTGCGCGGCGCGGCGCGGCACGGCACGGCACGGCACGGCGAGCCAGATGAAAGGGGTCCCCGATCGGAATGTAGACGGCGACACGGCGACGAGGTGCTTGGCGGTCCGCAGGACGGCGGCGACGACGGCGACCCCCCGGTGTCCTTATCAGCCGCGAGGCACGGCGAGGCACGGCGAGGCACGGCGAGGCACGGCGCGGCACGGCGCGGCACGGCGAGGCACGGCGCGGCACGGCGAGGCACGGCGCGGCACGGCGGGCACGGCGAGGCACGGCGCGGCACGGCGCGCACCGCGGGGACGCCCTGCTGGCTGCGGCCTCTGCGGAAAGCTGAGGCGGGCAGCCCCGGGGCTAGGCGCGCGTGCCGCTCGGCGTGCCGCCAGACCGCGCAAATGAAATCATGTGGAAATCACGCGGGGAAAATAAACGTGCGAATTTTTCATAACTGTCCACAATAGAAGCATAATAACACAAGGGCGCGCTGGGAGCGCTAGTCTGGGAGCGGCGCGGTGGCGCTGTTGCCGGAGCGCAGTAAATCAAAAGGCTGCAGTAACGGAGCGGGCGGGGCGGGGCGGGGCGGGGCGGGGAGGCGCACGGGAGCGACCCGTCGCGCGCGTCCGGTCGGCCGGGGTCTTGCTGGCTGCGGCCTCGCGGAAAGCTGAGGCGGGCAGCCCGGGGCTAGGGCCGAGCCGAAGGGCCCGTGCCTCCTCGGCGGCTCAAATGGCAATCCAGCAGGAAATCACGCGGGGGAATCGTGCGAATTTGTCATACTTCCTACCATAGGGACGCCATGAGTGCGACAGAGAGGCGCGCTGGGAGCGCTATCTCGGGAGCGGCGCGGGGCGCGTGGCGGGCGCACGACCTTTCAGTGCTCGCGTATTCGGAGTCGTTCGTGGCGGTCTCTCTCGTGCGGGGCGCCACATGAGGCGGCAGCGAGGCGACGGAAGCGACCCGTCAGCGTCTGACGACTTTGTCCGCGCGGACTCCCGTGGAGTCTTCTTGTGCTCACTTTTGCCGGCGCAGGTGCGCAACACTACGTAAGTACACTCAAATGGCGTGCCCAGAGGGCGCGTCGGCCGCCATTTAGGGTCCGAGAAGTCGCCCGACTGGCCCTTTGTCACCCTCTCGGGTGGCACAGAACCATGCCAGCAGACCGACGACACCGAGGCTGGGAAAGTCGGTTTCTCGACTTTGTCTCTTTTACCGCTATCCGGGACGCCCCATGAAATTGCGACAGAGATCGAGCGAACTGAGAACGACTCTCGGAAATCTGGGTCCGCGGCCAGCAGTGGCGGCGTCGTCACGACCATTTCATGTGTCATCCGAGTTCCTGGAGTTATCGTTTCGTGGCGTGTACAATCTCTCGCACCCTCGGCTTCACCGGCTCACAGCGACTGAGGTGCCGACAGTCCCAGAATCTAGGCACCTGGTCGCAGGAACTAGAACCTGATGCTCTACCTGGGATCAGGCGGTTACTGAGATTTGTCCCCCCGACGATCGGACCGACAAAGTGCCCGGATACTGCGACATTTGCACCAAAGAGGGCGGCGCAAAGGCCCCAGTTACTGGACCATATTTTGAGTGTAGTACACATGCACTCGCAGTGCTGCGAACCACAAGTGGCAAGTCAATGGCCGTGCAGCCACACTGGTGCGACGGTAGGGGGTAGGGTCGGGGTAGGGGCGGCAAGGGCGCTGCTGCCTCTCCGTACGGATACAGTACTCTAATTTCCCGCTTTGTGCGCACAAAGGGGGAACATCAACTCGCGGAAAAGGGGACAAATGGTTCGCACGAAGCTCGCGGAGAGAGAAAGAAAGAGAGAGAGATGCTCCTCCTACACCCCCCTACCTGTAGCCCTAGTGCCGTGGCTGCCGTGGCCAGAGACAATGCGTCCCGTTAGTTTGTGTAAAGGTTGGCAGAAATGCCCTGCGCTGCCCTGCGCTGCCCTGCGCTGCCCTGCGCCCCCCGCAAGAGTGCCAACTTGCTGACGTTGTTCGCCGAGCCGAGCCGAGTCAATCCGTTTGGCGGCGTGTCACCCCGTGACTGCCACCTTGTGCACCTACAGTGTGCACCTTGTGACAGGCATTCAGGGGATTAGCCGCGGACAACATCGCATATTCTGCCAGACTGCTGCTGCGCTGCTGCGGCTGCTGCTGCTGCCCGGAGTCCCGGAGTCGTCTGTGGGTGGGGAAGGGGCGAGGGGACACGGGGGGGAAGGGCGAGGCGTCTCAAAACAAAGGCTCGGCTCCCGGGCCGCGGTCGGCCGCGGTCTACTCCAACTTGTGCGGGGTGCGGACCGGCGGAGGGAGGAGGGGGCAATTGTTTTATCTGCCTTATCAAGGCAATGCCCACCCCGCGGTACCGCGGCCCAGCGGCCCCGCCCACGCCAGCCAGCGGCCCGCCCGGCCCCACATCCGGCACCCACCGGCACTCCGCACAGTGGGCCAGAAGACCGGTGGAGGCGGCCAGAACTCCAGACGCGTTTTGAGCTCCACAGTCGCTAAACAGGACTCGAACCGAACGTGTGACCCCACCAACGGATTCCTCGTTCGGAGAGCAATCGGTTGGTGGGGTCACACGTTCGGTTCGAGTCATATCCAGTGACTCTAGAGCGCGTCTAGAGTTTTGGCCGCCTCCACCGGTCTTCTGGCCCGCTGTGCGCCAGGACAGCCGTCGAACAGCGCCTCGAACGCGACGCCGCTACCTACGGGTACCTACGCCCATTCGCGGGTTCGTGATGGCTGGCTGGCTCACCTGGCAGATCCTTTGTTTTCTCGCTCCCGAGTCGTCCGCTGGTCGAAGACCTTCCTTCTCGGAGTTCCGCCCCGCCCCGCCCCGCCCCGCCCCGCGCCGCCCCGCGCCGCTTGCGGTACATGGGCACGCTGCCGCGCTGGCGACAGAGGTTTCATAACAAACAACGACGGCCTAGCAACTTGTCGCGGAGGGCAAAAAAAGGCGAGCCGAGCATCGCACATAACAAGGCGGACTTATGTTTTTACAATGGCCGATGGGAAATGCGAACGGTTCGAATCGCCGCGTCGGTAAATCACGCGAAATCGAAACGGCGCCGCGCCGCGCACCGCCGACATTACATCGCGGTGCTCGCAGGGCAGCGCGTGGCAGCGCACAGTGGTCCAGAGGACCGGCGGAGGCGGCCAAAACTCCAGACGCGTTTTGAGCTCCCGAGTCGCTAAACAGGACTCGAACCGAGCGTGTGACCCCACCAATGGATTCCTCGTTCGGAGAGCAATCCATTGGTGGGGTCACACGTTCGGTTCGAGCCCCATTTAGCGCACGGTAAACCGAATGCCTCGAAAACCGGGAGAGCGCCCCGGTTTTGGGTGCGCTGTCTTTTTCTATCTTGTGGAGAGGGAGTGAGACAGCGCATCCAAAACCGGGGCGCTCTCCCGGTTTTCGAGGCATTCGGTTTACCGTGCGACGCTGGAGCTCAAAACGCGTCTAGAGTTTTGGCCGCCTCCATCGGTCTTCTGGCCCACTGTGCAGCGGCGGCAAGGCCGCGAAGCGCCAACCCTTGCGTAGTTAGTATTTGCGTTCCACAGTGGGCCAGAAGACCGGTGAGACGGCCAAAATTCTAGACGCGTTTTGAGCCCCAGAGTCGCTAAGTAAGACTCGAACCAAGTGTGACTCGACCACACCAATGTATTGCTCTCCGAACGAGGAAGCGTGGCACTGCGGGGCTCAAAATGAACTGTGGTTCAGCCTCTCAAGTTCAAGTTGGAGCGTTGGCAACCCCAGCAGCTCGCATGATAAGGGAAGGCCTGGTCTAGGCCTGTTCTGGGCCAGGGCTGTGGACGGACGCCCGGGGCCACGCAACGCCTTCAGGCCTTAGGGCGGGGCTGGGAGACTTGGACGCGGGGTCGCGGGGTCCGGGAGCGTTGACGATCTCCTGTCTCTGTCGCCCTCACTGTGGACTCCTCGTAAGAGTATTCGAGAGAGAGAGAGAGAGAGAGAGAGAGAGAGAGAGAGAGAGAGAGAGAGAGAGAGAGAGAGAGAGAGAGAGAGAGAGAGAGAGAGAGAGAGAGAGAGAGAGAGAGCGAGCGAGCGAGCTTCGGCGAACTCATCCGGCCCGGCTCCCGGCAGCCGCGTCATGACGCAGCCTCTCGCTCCCTCGGGGCCTCGGGGGCAAACAAAGTGCTTTCGTCGCTGCGTCTCTGTCGCACTCGCGGGGCGCGCCTTGGCGGTGCGAGAGAGACGTGGCGACGAAAGCGCTCTCCGGAGCAGCCGGCAGCAAAGATTACAGCCACCGCAGCCTCTTCCGGCCGCCCGAGGAGGATGAGAGGATGCACCAGGATGCGCTCGGTGCACGGCCTCCGTCCGCGTCCGCGTTGTCGTTCGATAGAAAGGTTCCCAAAACGCAGCGAAAGGGGTACGGCATGCAACCGGACGGACTGTTGGGCCCCGTTTTCGAGAGCCATGCCCTTTACACGAAAATACATCTTATTCGACACTCCCTCCTTCACACAAGTGCGTTTTCCCTCATTCGGACACGTTGCTCACGTTGACGCACATTGCGACCTGCACGAAGAGCGGGGCAGAGGCAGCCGCAACGCCAGAAAGACCGGTGGAGGCGGTCAAAATCCCGGACGCCTTTTGAGCTCCAGAGTCGCTAAATGGGACTCGAACCGAACGTGTGACCCCACCAATGGATCTGTTGGTGGGGTCACACGTTCGGCTCGAGTCCCATTGAACGACTCTGGAGCTCAAAAGGCGTCCGGGATTTTGACCGCCTCCACCGGTCTTTCTGGCGTTGCGGCTGCCTCTGCCTCGCTCTTCCGCGGCGCCGCGTCACTTTCTCCTTTTGATTCGCGGGGGAAACTTGAGAGTGTAGCGCGGCGAGAGGCCCGCCCCGCCCCGGCAGCGCGTACATGCAAATGGGACGCCCGCCCCGTCCGCCTCGGCTCCGCTGCCTCGGCCTGGTTGGCTTCGGCTGGCTTCGGCCGGGCTATAAAAAGGCTCGACTCGCTGGAATGGAAAGCTAAGTCAAGCCGCTGGCGAACAAGGCCGGCAAGGCCGAGGCGGCGGGGCGGGGCTGGCCATGCACGTGGGAGGGCGTGAGCGAGAGGGGCCGTTGGCCAACCACGAGCGCCGGTCGACGCCAAACCGCATGACATGCCGCCCTGCACCCCCGCAGCGAACTACTTTCACTTCATCCAGCCAATTTACCGGTACTACTCGTTCCTCAAATAATGCGGCGGTTCTCGGGGGGATGAGGGTGGGAGGACGGCGTTGGCCCCTGGGGTGCGGTGCGGTGCCGCCTCGGCCGTAGGCATGCCGTAGGCGCGTCACGTTCCGGCCGTCCCCGCGGCGTGGCGGCGTGGCGGCGTGGCGGAAGGGCGTTATGCGAGCGAGGCTGCAGGCTGGAGGCTGCCTGCATGCCACGCACGGCCCGCCACCGCCGCGGCCCGAATTGACACGTCTCCCAAGGCGCCGCCGTCGCGTCGCCGTCGCGCCTCGCGTCTCGTCGGCAGGCGTCCTTGGTTCTTTTTGGCCCGTCCCGTTTATTTTTTGTAAAAAAATGACGGAGGGACGGGCATATAGTATGATCCCTGCTGTGCGTCCGTCCGTCCGTCCGTCCGAGGACTTCCCGTGGTCCGATCTTGACGAAATTTGGTATGCAGCCTCCTTGGGTGACCCTAAGAACCGCCCGGTGGCAGCAAATCCGATCCGAGGCCCGGGGGCGCTGCTGCAGGTGCATCATGGTCTACATGGGGTCGAGGAGGATTTCGGCAACGGATACAGCTAGGAGGGCATGTAGGGGTATTTTTGGAATCAGGACGACAAGACAAAACCAACGGTGCAAATTTCAAGCGAATCGGAGACGTTTGGACCCGGGTTCAAATCCCAGTGGGGTATATTTTGAAAATTCTTTATATTCGAGTTTTTGCATTGTTTCTTATGTTTTTGAGGGCGCTGATGACGAAAATAACATCTATTTTGACCTTAGACTCAGGTTCAAACCGGTCAGGGTTAAACAAAGGCGAAATTCACACATTTTTTAATTTACGGGACGGGCCAAAGTTGCCGATGTATATCGCTACTTTTCCTGTTATTTACCCTTCCCATTTTCCTCGCAAAAGGACGAAACCGCGCGCGTGGCGGGATGGCAGGCTTGAGGTGCGCGACGGTGGGGTGCGCGTCGACAGGCCCCAGGGTGTGCGGCAGCAGTGTGCGCCAAGGCGGGGTACGCGACGGGCTTGTGGTGCTCGACGACGGTTCCGCCAAGGCGTGGTGCGACGGCCGGGGTTGTCGGCGATAAGGATATCTCGCCACCACACCGCCGGGAACGCTGCGGCAGCACGGCTCCTCTTCCTCTCGCCGTCTTGCCGGTGCTCGCCGGTGTCGTGCTCACGGGGCGTGGGCAGGCCGCTCCCCCCTCTCTCCGTCTCTCTCTCCCCGTGCATGTCGTGGACGCGAATGAACTCAACGCCTCCCCCTCTCCACCTCACAAGGAAAAATTAACACACGCACAAAAAACGGCGAACGTGCTTTGAACCCTGGCGGCCTTGCTGGCGGTCGCGGCTGGGTGGCGGTCTGGCGGGGCGCAACAGTGCGATGACGGATGACGGATTATCGCCGATTTGTCCATCGCGCTGGAGGGAAGGCCCGAGGCCTGCGGGGCCGGCCTGCCGGGCGTGCTGGGCCTGCTGGAGCGGCGCTTGGCGCTGGAGAGGCGCCGCGCCCCGCCGCGGCCGGAGGGGCGGCGAGTGGCGCGGACGGGGAGGCGTCCCAGCGGGGCGGGCTGGCGAGGGCTGGCGAGGGCTGGCGAGGGCTGGCGAGGGCTGGCGAGGGCTGGCGAGGGCTGGCGAGGGCTGGCGAGGGCTGGCGGGTGGGCGGCCGGGGTTGTGGCAAAGTGGCCCAGCTCCCCGGACGACGATTAGCAGCCGATCCGGAGGTCGGAGGCAGTGGCGGCTCCCCTACCCAGAAATCACGCCGAGAGGGAAGGCGAGACCGTGCCATCCATGGTGCCGACGCGCCGCCGAGCCGCCGAGCCGAGGGCCACATTCGCGCAGTGGCTTTCAATCGTTCTTCATCGCTCGGCCGTCGGACTGCTGCCCCGACATGCGCAAGCCGGCGCCACTGTTTGGTACCCGTCTGCCAGCTCGTCTAGAAATGAAGCTTTCTGAAACGACCGACCGCTGCCGTCCATATCCCGAAGCAGGCCCGTCGGCAGCCCGGGCTGCGCGGGCGTCGCGGCCTCGGCGGCGTTGTCGCGGGTTTGCCTAGACTACCTGTCCCCCACCCACCCCCACCCCCATCGCTGATACGCAACAACCGAGTCCTAGTCTCGGGCATCCGGTGGTTGGCAGTGCCAAGGCCGGCCAAGGCAGTGCCGGCGCCACCGAAACCCGTTCCTCGGTCCCTGTGTTCCCGTTCGACTTCGACATCGCTCCGGCGGCGGACGGCGTCTCGGCGGGCACCGCGGTGCGGTACCGCGCGGTGCGGCGCACGTCGAGGCCGCGGAGGCCGTCGGGGCCGTTGGACTCACCAGGGTTGGGCTGGTTCTGGTACGACGGCTTCTTCATCCACTCGAAGGGCGAGCGCGAGAGCGGCGGCGGGCCGCGCGCCCCGGACGACCCCGCCGACCCCGGGCCGCTGGTGGCGCTGGTCTGCGGCGGGGTGACGGTGCCGCCCCCCGACGGCGAGGACATGTCGGACACGGTCATGGGCGGCGAGGGCAGCAGGGGCTCGGCGTGGTCGTGCAGGCTCTGGTGGTGGTGATGGTGGTGGTGCATGTAGTCCGGCGTGGAGGACGGCGACCAGTCCCCGGGCTGGAACACGGAGTGGTGCGGGCCGTGGGGGCCGTGCGGCCCGTGGGGGTGGTGCCACGCCGGCATCACGGCCTGCTCGTCCTGCACGCAGCTCAGGTTGCCGAGGTACTGCTGCGGCATCTGCGGGTGCGGCTGGTACGACTGGTACCAGCCGGGGGCCGGGTGCTGCTGCTGGGGCCGGTACATGGCGAGCGAGTTGCAGTAGGACACCATGGTCAAACACGCATCACTACACTGTCACTGGATCACAAAGGCACTGCGAGGCACTGCACTGCAAGGCACTGAACTGACGCGGCGGGCTGTCACTTTGTCCGATTGTCCGCTTGCTGAGCTCGGCGCTGTGGCTCTCGTCCGAGACCCGTCCGCATTCCGTGTGCACTGCGCAGGGCTCAGGGCTCGACTGGGGGACCCCGGGGACCCGCAGAGCCGCACCCGCACCCGCCACCCGCCCGCCCCGCCAGGACCCGCCTGGCTTGACTCGGCGGTGGGGAAAGGACCTGCTGCCAGCGTGCTGCCAGCGTGCTGCCAGCTCGGCCGGGGCGGCCCGCGCTCGCCGTCCGCCCCGCCAGTCCCCCTCCTCCACGCTGGGTTTCAAAAGATTTACCTCTATTAGAAATTTGATCTTGATTATTCTCAAAAGTTTGAAAATTCTCAAATTTTCAAAAAAAAAAATTTAAAATAGGTTTGATACTGCTTTAACAAATCTGAACTTCGCCGTACAAGGCAGACATGCAGGCGTTTAGTTGCAGTAACATATTCAGAATTTAGATTCAGGTTTTTAAAAAAGTCTTGTGAAATATAACAACTACAAACAATGACCGTCCAAAACAAAGCGCGCGTCATAAGAGCTACATTGCTCTTTTTGGAATGAAGGCTTCTCCATTTGGTCAGCCCAATCCACATCACAGGTGAAACTCAAACTCCCGGAATGCGGTGAACCCGCATTCATCACCTACTACTTGCTTGAAGCGGCAGAGCATCATTCCTGGTCTAGCCCATCATGTTCATTTTCCTCGTCGGTACTATGGTTGTTATCGAGTTCAACCCGAGAGAAAATTATAGGCTGCAGATTGGCTGCAGGCTGGCTCCCTCCAGGTGGCTGACAACGCGTGGATGGAACTCGGATGGCTGCAGACATTGGCTGTATTCGGACATACGTCAGCCAAAATACAGCCATCCGCAGCCGGTGCAGCCTCTCTGGCTGCACCTGCCAGCCACTGAAGTGTCCCTTTAGAGCCCAGTCAGCGCTGCCCCCGCTGCTCTAGGCTGCACCCCACAGCCTGCAGGATGCGCCAGATAGCCTTCCTTCGCGAGCCACGCTGCCCCCAGCAGCCACGAGGCTGCGAGGCACTGCTCTAAGCTGCACCCCGCAGCCTTCAGGATGCCCCAGGCAGCTTTCCTTCGCCCGGGCCACGCTGCCTCCGGAAGCCTGGAGGTTGTGAGGCGATGCTGTAGGCTGCACCCCGCAGCCTTCAGGATGCTCCAGGCAGCCTTCTTTCGCCCGGGCCACGCTGCCCCTGGCAGCTATGAAGCTGCGGATCACAGCCACATCTCGGCCGCATCCTGCAGCTTCGTGGATGCCATCGGCAGCACCCATATCGCTACTAGGCTTCACTCCTTAGTACATGAGGGTCCCCATGACGACCTTTGAGGGTGCCTGTTACGCCCTTTGAAGTTCTATGGAGCCCTTAGTAGATTTTCTAGGGTCCCAACACCGTTCCAGATCCAAATCTGGCAAGTAATTTCATCTAGGACTTACCGTTCCAGAGATATCAAAGATAACAAAAAAGTGTCCCGATTTTTACGAAACTTGCATGGCTTATGTGTGTTAACGTATTCAACTCAAATATCAGCATACCACGCACCCATTCTATTTTTTTCTATTTTTTATAACCCTTTAATCAAGGAGTACGCCTGAATACCGCCAGCATCCACCATGCTGCATCCGTAGCCTACAGCCATTGCAGCCCATATGGCTGTATAGTCCTGCCGTAGCCCGGCTGCATCCGGCAGCCAACACGCTGCGACGCGCAGCCTACAGCCATTGCAGCCTACGTGGCTGGAAAGTGCAGCCGTGGCCAGGCTGTCGCTGGCAGCCAGCACGCTGCGACGCGCAGCGTGCAGCCTACAGCCATTGCAGCCCGCCTGGCTGCAAAGTCCAGCCGCGGCCTGGCTGCCGGCAGCAGCCAACACGCTGCGACGCTCAGCCTACAGCCATGGCAGCCTACATAGCTGTAAAGTCCAGCCACGGCCCGGCTGGCACCAGCAGCCAACACGCTGCGACGCGCAGCCTACAGCCATGGCAGCCTACGTGGCTGTAAAGTGCAGCCGGGGCCCGGCTGGCGCCAGAAGCCAACGCGCTGCGACGCGCAGCCCACAGCCATTGCAGCCTACATGGCTGTAACGTCTACGCGGCAGGGCTGGCGCCAGCAGCCAACACGCTGCGACGCACAGCCTGCAGCCATTGCAGCTAAGTTGGCTGTGCGTGGCAGCGTTTGTAGGCTGCTTAGGGCAGCCAAAAGGCTTTTGTGCGCAGCTTCTGAAGCGTTTCACAGCCAAAGCGCTCCGTGAAACAGCCAGACCAGCCACTGCAGCGTGCATAGCTGCAAGTCCAGGACATCGCTATGGCTGCGACATGGCTGCAAGGCAGCCACGGCAGCCATGCATACAGCCAAAAAACGGTCCATACAGCCATGCGTCAGCCGTGCGTCAGCCTTTCTGCAGCCTTCTATTTTTACTCGGGAATAGCGTAGTTCTTGTTGTTTATTCATATTTTTTTTCGGACAGACGGGTATTCCGTGCGCTCCAAATTGTACCGCCATTGTGGCCGATCACAATCGCGGTCGCAAGATTTCATGCAGTGATGGTCGACGTAAGTGAATTTATTGCTCGGCCCGTGCCTACACTGCCACGACGGCACGACACGTTTCCTGTCCCGGGAGGAAAGGCAGGAGGGGAGGGGAGGGGAGGGGCGCAGCAGGGAAGGCCGTGGGAGGGGAGGAGCCTGCGCCAGCCAATGACTGCGGGCCGCTGGGTGGTGGGGGCCTGGCAAGCCTGGCAGGGGGCGTGGAGGGGGCTTGGAGAGCCGCGGGGCCGCGCTGGGCTGCATGTTTGGTTCCAAGTGGGCAATCACTCGGAATAAATACTGCATTCACCTCCGGCATGCTCGAACACTTGAAACCACTCGTCAGAAAGGAATTAAGCAAACTAAAATTTTCTATTTTGTCAATTGAAAATAATGATTGATGTTCAATTTCTTTTTTAAGGAATGCCATGATGACTAGTAAGGTGATTTCACAGCAGGCGACTTCCCTTTGAATTACGTACATCGGAGAAGTCATGCAAACTAAAAGTTTCAATTTCGTGAATTTAAAAACATTATCGGCGTTCAAATAATTTTTATAAATGCCATGATAAATGAGGCAATTCCGCGGCAGCCGGTCGTTTTCCCTTGGCTTCACGTTCTGTATGGAATCATTACAAATCCAAAGATCACACTTCTCGCCGCTTCAGAGGCCAGACAAAAGGCAGTCTTGTCAAGTTTTGGTCAGACCTGAAAGTCTCGCCAAAAGTTGGTCTGACGAAAATGTCTCGCCACAAAATAGCGAGATTTTTCTGTCTGGCCACATTGTGGTCCGACTTTTGAACCCAGTCAATGTGGTCCACGAGGCCTCTACCGTGCACGATCAGACAAAAAAAGTCTCTTTATATTTTGGCGAAACATTTTCGTCTGGTCAAAATTTGGCGAGACTTTCACGTCTGACCAGAACTCGGCAAGCTCGCCATATTTTGGCGCAAAGTCTCTCCATTCAAATTTTAGTGCTCTCTGGCGGCAGTTTCTTTGGTCTCTGGAGAGATTGTGATGAGACAGAAACTAAAAGGGCCAATGACAATGACACAAACAAAAGAAGTAACATTTGATTTGAAGAGAGTGCAAAATATCACGGAATATTCGCGGCGACTGTGATCAATCTAACCGTGGTCAAAGCCTTCCCTCAACGTCCTAGGCCAATATTGCTGCATTTCGGCGGCCACTAGCTCCGTCATCGAGCCGTGGTGGAAGCCTTCCCTCGGCCCCGTACCCCCGTGGGAACAACCACGTATAATCCACGTAGCATCCACGTGAGATCACTGCAAAGCCAGTGGTAAGTTTACTTGCCACAAATATGGCAAGCCGTTTTGAATGCCTAAATTTGGCAAGCTATGGTCGGAAATCTTCACAAGCTTGCCAAATTTTGGTGAGCTGGGGGGTATTTCCAGTCTAAGCTTGCCAAATTTCGGCATGCTGGGGAGTATTTCCACACTGTTAAAAATGCTATGAATTTTCATTACAAATATGCATTGAAAATTCATGAACGCCATTAAATTTCATAGCGGCCATAAAATTTCATAAATATAATGAAATGTCATAACACATTCCATGAAACGTCATAATATCTCCTTGAAAAATCAAGTCTGCAATGAAACGTCAAGAGATTTGATGAAAAGTCAAAACGTGAAACTACAAATTAAGTGTGATTCTGAAAATTTATTACCAAGATATAAACTTTCATGTCGGTCTCTGACTTGTGATAGGCAGGTTTTGATGGATCTTACATTGCCCGGGTGGAAGGAACTTCAGGTTTGACTGAGTTTGAACCTAATCGTGATTCGGAATATTTCTATGCTCTTCCCTGAGTAATGTAGCGTGATGATATGAGTAGTAAATCAAATGTCGCACCAAAAAAGAATTTTAGTATCATTAAACGCAAACCGTGGTCAATCCACTGCTCACATGGTGCGGCCTGCCAGCCACCTGGGCTCAAAGTCAGGTTTCAAGAAGCTGCCGCTAGGTGGCGCTCGGAGCGCCGTGTTCGTTCACTAATAAGTTTTGCCTATTCATTTAAGTAAAATTAATATTTTTTTCAAAAGTTTATCCTTGGTTACCTCAGTGAATATCTACTCTAGACGTATGCTAAAAGTGTTAAACAAAATATTACTCTGAAGTCGAGAAAAACGCAGAACCATGTTGCGACTCGCTGGCGCCTACCGTCGGCCATTAGGTTAGGTCCAGCGAGAGCCTCCTCGTGGTTGTGGTACAGCATGCTACCAACTCATCTCGCTGAGTATCGCTCCGGGGTAAGATCGGAGTCTGAGGTGGACTTGGCCCGCTTCCAATTTTTAGAAGTGGTGTGGAACTCAGAGCCAAGATACCGGTCGAGATTTCATTACCCACTTAAGATGTACAATACCTCAATCGGAAATAAAATGTCAAAACCTACATATGAATTTTCATGAACAAATTAATGAAGTTTTACAACACATTGCTATGAAATTTCATGGCGATTTTCTGCAATGAAATTTATTTCATTGCAGAAAATCGCCATGAAATTTCAGAACAGAAAAGTGATAATAATTACATTAACATGTTATGAAATTTCAATCCAAATTTTTTAAC